CGAGTGCTTTGAAATGGACTACTTTTCTTTCTTTTCTTTTCTTTTTTTTTTTTTCCCTCTTTAAGGTATATGTCAAGGAATTAGGTACCCTATCAGAGCAGTCATTTTCCAGTTCCCGAAGTTACTGTTTTGGAGTCGAGGAGGTGGAAGGACTGAAAAGACTGAATGGAAAAGAAGTGTGTGTTGACAAGTCACCCAGCCTGGGAAATGTGAAATTACAGCCGAGCGCTTTGCAGCCGGGCGCCTCCCCCACCGTACCCGACGGCGGGGTCGGTTTCAAAGCACTGGTGGATTTACTCAAACCCAGCGTGGAGGCTCTGCGCTCCTAATGGACCACCAGTCTGTGGCCACTATGGAAATGCCTGGCTTTATTTTGGTAGAATTCTGTTCAGCCGGCTGCAGAGTAAATAATGGTCATCAGTCGCATCACTGGCTCCACAAATCCTTGTTTCCAGAAGCAGCCTTGTCCTCTGCTTCCCATAGCACTGGAACCTGTGATGTGAATACCAGGTGCCCACCCTGTGCTAATAGCTAAATAACCTGGCAGCTCTCCAAGCTCGGGGCTTTTCAGAGTGAGGCCCCAGGACCATGCCGGGAGCCAGGCAGCTCGCTTCCGGCCCATGATAAACACAGAAATTGAGGAGGTGTTCGGAAACTTCTGTGACGATTTGACAGCATGATTGACTCTACCAAACACTTGGGGGTTTTACCCTGATGCCGTTTAAATTCATTTTTTAAAAGATGTTATTTATTTACTGAGAAAGAAAAAACAGAGGAGAGTAAGAGGGAGAAGCAGACTCCTCACTGAGCAGGGAGCCCAATATGGGACTTGATTCCAGGACCCTGAGATCATGACCCGAGCCAAAGGCAGATGCTAAACTGACTGAGCCACCCAGGCGCCCAAATTCACTTTTCTAGTGATTGATTTTTATTGTATTTTACAAAAGTTATGCTCTGTGCCTGGTTGGAGGTAGAGGACTAGCCCTTCTCCATGGATGGATTGGGTTGTACTGGTTTAGCTACGACCTGAGGCTGGTGACGGAACATCAGGGTCTTCCCGCTACCTGAGGAGCTCAAGCCACTGTTGATTCAAAGAGGAAAGACTGGGGCACCTAGGTGGTTCAGTCAGTTAAGTGTCTGCCTGTGGCTCAGGTCATGATCCCAGGGTCCTGGGATCAAGCTTGCCGTTGGCCGTTGCACTCAGCAGGAAGCCTGCTTCTCCCTCCCTCTCTCTCCCCCTGATCCTGCTCTCTCTCTCTGTCGCTCACTCTTTCTCTCAAATAAATAAATGCAATCTTTAAAAAAAAAAAAAAGAAAGAAAGAAAGAAAAGAAAAGGTTAAGGACATTGCAGATACGGGGTCGGGGGGGTGTGTCTTTTATTAAGTTTCCACAGGTACTCTTTTTTAAATTTAATTTTAATTCCAGTATAGTTTACATGCAATGTTATACTAGTTTCCAGTGAATAATAGAGATTCCACAACTCTATACATTACTCAGTGCTTGTCCTGATAAGTGTCCTCTTGATCCCCTTCGCTGTCACTCTTACAAGCATTTGTTCCTGAGCCTCCCTTCTGCTGGTTAGGAAGAGGCAGGCGCCGTGAAGGTGAATTTTGCTGTGTCTCCTGCAGAGGGGGTGCTGAGACGCTGCTTCCCCGCCCCTCCGTGGGGCCAGTCCCTCTGGTCTGTGAGGGAGGGATTATGCTAGCTGAGCTCATGTCTGGGAAATGTTCTGGGGTTCCGTGGAAAGAAAGCAGAGGCAGCCCACTTGTGCTACCATGTGCTAAGGAAGGAGAGTGGCAGATAGAGGGGAGAAACCAGGAAAGGGAATTCAAGAGCTAAATCATCACTGTACTCTGGTCCCTGGGGTCAGCCTGTCCTTGTGGCCTTGAACTGTTCTCCAACTGGAAATCGGGAATCAGAATCCTGGGATGTGTTAGGAGTGAGAGAAGCAGGGTGCCTTTTCCCTTATTGGGAACTTTCCCCACTCCCATCCACAAGGCTCATGCTGGCTCTCTCTGCTTTTTTAAATCTTGGTTTAAATGTGGTCCTTTCCTTTGGCACACTTTGTTCCCTTTGCCCACTTTGTTTTTCTCATCATTCAAGTACTAGGTCATTCTGTATTTTATGGCAACATAATGTAACTAATGTAATATAATATCATCTATTCAGATGGGAGTGTACAAGGGCAAGGCATTCTGTCTGTCCTGCTCAGTCCTGTATATCCAGAGTCTAAAACACATGGTAGGTGCTCAATAAATATTTGTTGTATAAGCAAATGGATGAATAAGGAGCAGTAAAAGGGCAGGATCACAAAGGAGCTAATTGTGTCCGAGGAGGCATTCGGCCGTGTCTACCCAGCCATTCGCTGAGTGGTTGAGTTGGGGCCACTGGAAGGACACAGTCAGGAGGAGCTAATCCTTTAAGCAGCACCTACCAAATACCAAGTACTGTGGGAGTTGTCCTGTGTTCGTTATTCTATTTAGGTATCACATGGTCACGTGAGATATGTGTGGGCAGCTGCTCTTTCAGATGGGGAGACTCAAGAGGTCGAGTACTTCATCCATGGTCAGCCAGCCCTTTGAGTGGCAGAACTGGGATCCAGCTTAATTGATCTGATTTCTAAAAACTTCCAGAAATAGTCATTTGGTCACAGTGTCTCTTGTTTTTTTTTTTTTTTTTTGGTTTTTTTTTTTGCTTTTTTTAAGTGTAAGATGGGAATTAATTTTCTGCATCCTTCACCAAATTTTATCTGATAAGAATGGAAAACTGAGAAAATCAGAATACAGCTATTCTAAAATATGAACCTCGCACATAGAAGGTTGAAAATTAGATTGAGGAATACAGGGTTTGGTTAAATCCAGCCAGTGGGGATGAGTCAGGTTTCCATGCAAGACTCTGTGCCCAGCACTGGCTTCAGTGTTGGTACATACTGTTAATATTCCATATTCTTCCCTAGGCTGAGACCACAATCTCCAGACTCAACATATTGTCCCTTGTTTGGAAAATATTTATGGAGCATCTACTAGGTGCTTGGAGTAGATCATAGAGAGAACAAAATTCCTTGCCCTTCCTGGAACTTCTATTTTTGTAGAGAGAGGCAGGAAATAAGTAGTAAGCAGGAGGCCATGAAATAAATCACATGATATCTTAAAAGATGGCATGGGCTACAAAGGAAAAAAATAGCGTAGGGGAAGGGGCTTAGAAGATCAGGGTGGAGGCGAGCAGGTTGCTGTGTTAGATTGAGTGTTAGATTGAGTTAGTGTTAGGTTGAGTGGTTCAGGTAGGCCCTGTTGAGACTGTGGCTTCTGCACAAAGTCTTGAAGAGGTGAAAGGGAGAGGGAGCCAAGAGGTATTCTGGTGGGAGAGCATTCCCATGAGAGAATATAGAGCAACTGCACCAGGATGGGGGCATGCCTGGTATGCTTGGACAACAGCAAGGAAGTAAACTTGGGAGGTGCCCAGCCAGAGTCGGGAAGAACCTGAAGGTAGAGACAACCCTAATCCCCAGTAGATGGGACATGGGAGATGAGACAGAGTGCAGAGTCAGGGATGAGCCAAACCAAGGCTTAACTTTTTTATCTTTCCACCTTCGTTCCTTTTTTAGGAGCTGACATTGAGTATTCCCAAAAGTATTAGAATTTAAAAATATATATATATTTTTTAATGTAGGCTCCATGCCCAATGTGGGGCTTGAACTCATGACCCTGAGATCAAGAGTCAAAAGTACCGACTGAGCCAGCCAGGAGCACCCCCAAAAGTATTAGCATTAAGGTGCTTGGAGATTTGGCCACTACACTTACACTAGTCCCCTAATGCCTCTGCATTTGGGTTTCTTCAGCTGTAATATGAAGGGACTCTTCACAATAATCTTAAAAATCCCCCTTCCAACTATTTCTGAATGATTTCCCCACAGGCCATATTGTCATTGCTTGCTTGCTTCTGTCCCTCCTTCTTTCCTTCATTTATTCATCATGAGTTTTTAAAACATTTGCTGGAACACAAGCCCTTCCTGAAGCAACAGATATGGACGCCAAGGAAAGGAGGAACAGCATCTCTGCCTTTCCATTGCTTGCAGTCTTCTCGCTGAGGTTAGAGGAGAGGGCAACAAGCAAGGCAAGAACCAGAGCAAGCAACAGCTAGCAAAAAGGGGAAGAGTGTGGCACGAAAAGCAGTCATGTGACCGCCATTTCCAAGCTCAGGGCACCTGCGGAAGGGGTGGGGGCATGGTAAGAGGTGCTCACATGCTCTGGGGATGGGGGCAGTGATGATGTGAGGTGGAGCTGGCTCGAGGTGGGGAGGCTGGTGCATAGAGAGTGGGCCATATGGGCCAGAGGGATCTGGGTCTGAGCAGGAGGCACAGCCTATGAATGGATGATGTCATGAACCTGGGTCAGGCAGGTGAACTGTCCTGGTACCACGGGACCAGAGGAAGGGAATAAAGAGGTGAGCAACCCAGCCCGGGACTGTTGGATTACCTCTAGACCCTGATTTCTAAAGTGGTTGCTCATTCCTCGTCCCCTCTCTGGCAAACTCATCGCGTGATCAAAATTCTGGGCATTGAGGTAGCAAAGAAAAGCTCACTAAACCAGTTCTATTTGAAGGGGAAGAAAACTATCTAAACAAGGAAATGAAGCTTTCTCCTGTATTGATGGCTCAAGTTTATAATTGAACTGTACATCCACTTGCAAGATTTTTAGCGCAGAGCCCTTAATGTTTTTTCTCTAAAAAGTCGAATATGACTGACCCCTCCGTTCCTTGTCCTCGTGCCCTTCTGGAAACAAAGGAGTTCCCCGTGCTGAGGTTCACAGCCAGTGCTGTTGCCCTCACCATGCAGTTGTCATGGTGTGATGTGTACACTTGCGATCGTGGATGCATTTATCTAATGGGCTTTGCATGGCTCCACTCGGCCGGGGCACCGGCCTCGGCAAGCCCAACAAAGCCCCACATTGATCCACTCCCGTGTTTCTGATTGTATTCTATAATATGTTGACATTTCCAGGCTAATCTTGTACAACTACTGCGAGATTCTCAGGACCGAAATAAACATCTGGGAGAAGAAATTAAAGAACTTCAGCAAAGGCTTGCAGAAGTCCAGGGCGACAATAAGGTACTGTGAATATTTAAAGGGAAAAGCTCCGCCATGTAATTGTGTGCTTAGAGGTTTATGAGGAACACATCAGAAAAACGTAATGCCGCATTTGCTGAGAAATTTGTTATAGATTTTTACATTTGCAGTGAAAAGTCACAGTTTAGCATTTCTTATCTTTATGACATCCCTTTTGTGTGTGTGCTCACACGTATGTACGTGCTTCTGGGTTGCTCCAAAATATTGCCACAACCCACTGTGGAAGTTTCATTATATTCAGCTTGGTGGTGAATAACATTGCGGTTGAGGGCAAAATAAAACCCAAAATGCTATGCTTTCCCCCTTCTCTACAAATAATGGATTTGTGGCTCAGATGATTTGGAATTATTCGCATTCAGTTTTGAATTTTAAGTAGTCATCCTACTAATTACGTTCACATAACCAATTTATTTTATTGCTAAATTTGGCAATTTGTATGGAACATTGCTCAAAATCCACTGCGTGGTATTAATCAAACTCCCCTGTTGGCAACGTTAATTATAAAATATGAACTCATAAACTCCAAACTAAATGTGTGCTCTCTCTCTCCCAGCTGAAGCTGTGAACAAAAGTACAATTGAGAAAAGGAAGAAAAACTATCAAAGTTTTAATTCTGTTCCCCACCCACCAGAAAAAATTTCTGTTTTGCCACAAGAGATCCATTTCCAACTCCTTGCCAGAGGCAGCTTTCCTCACAGAGATGGCCATTGGAGTTCAACTCAAAAAAACTCCATGGCAGGGAGGAGGTCCTTTCTTGGGAAATGTCTTTTAAATGTTACCAAATTTTCTTGACAAATGATGGTGATGTTCACTGTTTCTGGGAGTTCTTGGTTCGTGGAAGACGCCATTTTGAAAGGTGCTGGCTCTTTAAAAAATGCACGCAAGAGTCTGCGTTATACAGAGAAGTCTTCCATGATCAAAGATCAGAGAGGATTTTCTGCTGCTGGTTTGAGAGGCTCAGTCTGAGGACCAACTGGGAGGTCTTTCTGCATAGCCTCTTCTCCACTTAATCAGCCTTTACATTTTTTTTTTAAACCCCTTGGATTTACATATATTTGGAAAAAATTAGGCTTGACTATTCCAGGTCATGAAGTAGGGGGTGGGAGAGAATGCCTGAGAAGGGTTTTAATTAATACTGGACAAGCTAATCAGGGCTCTGGTGTGGTTTTATGCACCATTACAAGAATTTAAGTTCTGTAACCTAGGTGTTTGGTTCATAATTAAAGGCCAGACCTTCTTAGTCGCTTCCTCAAGGTTTTCTAGAGAATGAAATGAGATGTGTGTAGTAGTTTCCCTTAAACCCATAAAAATACTACAGGAATTTTGGAGACATAATAAATCCACAAAATGTTCTTAATATTTTATAATATATATTAATATATTATATATTATATAATATATTAATATATAATAAATATTAGAATATATAATAAATATTAGAACATTTTGAAAAGATGTGATTTTTGGATTCATGGTTCTTGACTGATTTTATTTCCTTATCTCTTTTTTTCCCCCTTAAATGAGCTATCCACCTCCCCAACTTTCCAAAATATACTTCTGCCTCATCTTTTGGTCACTTTTAATTTTGACACCTTTTAGACATGGGAATCGACATTTGCAACTGGTATTTCAAGGAAAGAAAGGGAGGGCGTGTGTGTATGTGAGTATGTGTGTATGCATGTGTGAGTGTGTACAGGACTGAGTGTGTGTGTGCGTATGTATGCACGTGTCACCCTAAGCACAGGTCTGGGGCTCCTTGTGTGTTGGCACAGTCTGAACTTCTTGATTTATTTGCACTCTGGGTCTTTATTCCAGTAGCTGGACAGATTTATCAAACTTTGTTTTCTTGCCCAAGGTTTAGAATTTAGTGACTCATATTCATGGTCTGTGAAGTAATTCGCCCGCCGAAAGGTACAGGGAAGATGCTACAATGTTCAGCAGGCCCCGTATCTCAGTATCCAGCCTCCCCTCCTCAAAAAAAGACCAACTGCAGTGAGCCCCAGAGAACCCATTTATTCTCATTTGCATCTATAGTTATAGGGCTGATTTATTTTCAGATCCCTGTGAGTCATAGCCACTCTCCCCCCCACCCCCACCCCCGGTTGTCAACATTAGGGCCAGATGACTCATTTGATAATGACACCAGGCATCTTGGGAAACGCAGAGCCCCTGTTCCTTGGTATGTGGTGAAGAATGGGTTAATCCTTCATTTGTTCTTTTTTGTTGTTTAATTCGTTATGTCACTTGCTGTTCCAACATTTCTATCACCTTCCAAATCCAGTTCAACCTCCTTGCCATGGTGGGTAGGCCCTCCAGTATCTGGCCCCTTAACTGATTTCTCCAGCCATGTCTATTGACACTAGTCACCTCATGCTTCAGTGAACAACACTAATTTCAGCCCCTTTGCTGAACTTTATTGTCCTATGCCTCGGCCTTTGCACCTGCTACTGGCGCTGTTTGGGACACTCTTTCCCTTTACTTCCCTCTCCAACTCTGGTTCATCTTTCCAGTCTTAGGTCAAATGTAGCCTTCTTCAACTCTTAGGGGCAGGTCCTGTGCATGCCTACAGTGCTCCGCCCTTTCCCCTCTGCTCATGCACGTGTATGGCACACTCGCCCCAAGAGTAAGCTCTTTGCAGGCAGAATTCCTGACTGGGCTTTATTGCTAGGAATTAGCACTCTTAGTTCCTGGTACATGCACATTTCTTAGTAAATCTTAATTGAAGGAATGGAATGGAATAGATGAGTGAATGAATAAACGGAGAGAATGAAGGGAAGGAAAAGAAGAGCCAAAGGTTCAAGAAAGAGGAAGAGAAGAACAAAAAGGACAAAGAATATAAGAAAATAAGCAGACTGAGAAAATAAGCTGTGGTTGTCACCAGTAACTCCATTCACAGGCCAAGAAGTAGTTTCAAAATTTGGAGAAATGAGCTAAAAAAGCAAACTTTCATCTAAGAAAAAATAAAACCAAAGCAAACCCTAGGTGTGAGACCTTGGGAAGCCCTTGTGGAGAGAGCAGTGTCTGAGTCTGAGCCTTGGTGGACTCAGGGTAAAAGTCCTGCCCATAGGCTGCCTCAAGCCTGTGAAATTCAAGAACACTTAGTATCTGATGTTATTGGACTACCCCTCCCCCAGCCCATACCATTCCAAACAGAAGGGCCGATGGCATCATTTTATGAGTGACTGTTAAAGCAGAAGATTTTTATCTCCAAGTTGCCATTTTAACTGATGACCCTTATCCATATTTTGGGAAGCCCAGATTCTAGATGTTAAGTACATTTAAGAAACAAGGTGATAGGAAATTACTTGCCTTGGATATTTTAAGGTAGACTAATTTTTCCATTTGTTCAGCTAGAGCCTTGTAACCCTACGTGCCATAAAGCATTTTCAAACAGCCTCTTGAAAGATTTGTTGCCACCCTGGCTTACAAGCAGCTTAGCCCTCCCATGGGGTTGTGAGGGTGGTGGTGGGGTTCGGGATAGGGTGGGGGGGTCCCATGATCAAATACCACCTGCCATCTCTCTGAACTGTGCCCAAGAATTTCTCGGAGCTCTTGGGTGGACACAAACCCCCAGTACAAGCTAGAAGAGAGGCATGAGGAGGGAAACTTACCAGACATCCTCCGTTTCCTTGATAATTATGGTTCTGAAAGGTTAATGAGGAAAGAGGAGGCATGTGGGGAAGGGAGGACTCATATCTCCACAAATCACCTTGGGAAAAGCTTTTCATGGGTGGTAGATTGCCCTGGGCTCTCAGGGTGTCAGTCTGTGCAGAATAAGGACCAATTATGTGGAAAGACCCAGACAGTGCTGGGACCTCAAGTCTGAAAAAGAGCCCAGTAGGAGAAATGCAGCTTTCCTTCCTGCCCTAGAGGACTGCCTGCTTCTTTTCTGGGCATTAAAAGAGTGGATTTAGGGAAAGAAGACCAGGGGGAAGAAGGGGTTCTCTGAGAATTTAAGGATTAGTAAGAGTCACCAACAAACCTAGCAGAGCACATTTGGGTCAGATAGCCAGAGGTGAGCTGGTAGACCAGCTCTCAGAAAGAGGAAGGCTGGCTGATAGTGCTTTGTTGATTTATAACAAATCATGAGGCCACAACATGAAAGCACTGAGCTGTGAGTTGGGAAGATTGGGACTCCAGGAAAGACCAATTCCAGCCTTGCCAATGTCAAGTGGTGTAGAGAAATATAGTCTTAAGAAGTCCAACTTTGGAAATTGTTCGGCCCAGATTTATGGCTCTGCCAGTGGTTGTTTTATGGCCTTGAGCAAGTCAGTTTTCTCTCCAGGCCTTAGCTTCCTCATCTGGAAAATGGGAGCGATCATATCTCACATTGAATTGTTGACAGGTTTTATCATTTATTCATCCACACATAAATGGGGACTTGCTACATACCCTGCTTAATGTTCTAGGAGCTGTGGATACACCAAGGTATAAGAAAGACAACGTACCCATTCTCACAGAGCTTATATTCTAGTTGGGGAGAGATACAGTAAGAAAATAAAATATACAAGATCATCAGATAGAAGTTAGCGCTGGGAAGAAAAGAAAGTAGGACGAGGAGAATTAATGATTGGGTGTGTGTGTGCAGTACTCCGTGTTTGTAAAGGGTGTAGCATAGTGCCTGGAACCCAGAAAGTGTTCCACTAAGGGTAAATGTTGCTGTTATCTTAGCATGACTTGGGGCCAGATTGGCTTAGAATTCTCTTGTGCAAGTGTTCTACCAGGAAGCTCAGGTCTTCCTTCCTATTGATCAAGTATTTCCAGTGAACTGGGTACATGCCTCCCAGTAGAGACAGAAATTGTGGTGAGAAGCCTCGCCTCTGGATCCCCCAAACTCAGCACTCCTTATAACCACCCCAGACTTTGCCAGCACCAGGCATGCTTCCTTTGGTGCAGAGCTCCTGGAAGCTTCCTTGCATTTTGTGTGCCCCTTGTAGAATAGGCACCTAACAACAGAGCATGCCAGGAACAGGAACTCATGT